AAAATAAGGTGACAACATTATTTACTGGGGGAATATATATTTAGTGCAAGTGTCTGTCTCGACACGTAACAGTGAAGTGACAAGAGTTTAAAGCCGCCTCTCCTGTTTAGCCGCCATTTTAAAAACTAAAGGGTTCACGGGACGCTTAAGGAATTTCTCCATTTCACTTTACAGCAATATAAACGCGGTTAGGTCTATTGTGAAACATTTTGATAACAGTTCACACTGTTACTACTTTTTCGACATGCAAGTATGTTACATTAATATCTGACCTACATAAAATCAGCTGATTGAAGCCGACTAAAAAGTCCAGAGATCTTGACTTAAACTATAACTAAAATACACGTAGTTAAAAAAATACTAATCTTTTGACTATTTAATTGAAAAATCAATTAAGATAATACATTGAGTAGCTTTTCAAACTGAAACAAAATCCCAACAGAAACCTTCGCAAAAACAGTATTAATATGTGGTGGAGTTGTTCACAAACACTTGTAATGATGGTTGAAATAAAAATGAAGAATGCGAAGTTATTTTGGTAAAGTGGTTTAAATTATATGATAAAAAAAAAAATCATTTTCTCTACTAGGTACTAGTCGAAGGAAATATTTTTTGTCAACTTATGTCTTTCCTATTGATTTGATACAGGCGTTTTGTAATGGAATGAAAATGGGAGTATGAAAAAATATGTATTCTCCTTATATATTAATTATTCATTTAAAATATCCAAAGAAGCAAAATAATGAAATTATAGAGAAATTTATGAATGTATTTAAAATGAGCTTCTCAGTATCTAATAGTAATTTGTTTGAAACAATTATAAATAGTCCATTATTGTTATTTAAATTACAGTTATTAAAACATATTTTTTACAAATGTATGTGTTTTTTTGATGCGTTTGACGCAATACAATATATTTTTCAGTTTTTATCCATTACCTATACATGTAAATTAAACTTTACTCATTCTGATTGTGTAGTTTTAATAATAGATTTTTAATAAATACATATATTTTGTATACATACTATGGCCTATTTTACTGAGGTTTTTCTCTTTTTGGCTGTAATATCAAAAAACGCCATAACTGATAAGTAGTCGATGTATAAAGGTATGTGTCAACTATCTTATTTTATTTTTTTTCATTCAGATAATCTATCCGAATAAGTATTCCACGAAAACTAAGCTAGTATAAATAACAAATTAATAAATTTTACAATTGTACTGATGCTTATCCATAAGTCGTGATGTCATAAAGATGCTATGTTGAAACGTTCCTCAATTATAGAAAAACATCTGAATTGATATAAAATATAGTTATCGTAAGTCAAACATTTAAAACATTACATTTATACTGTAATTTTCGTTCACAACTTCTTTAACATGTCGAGTCGCGTAAGTAAAGTCACCTTTTCTAATAATTTAATATTATAATTTTTTTTTTTTAATATTAATGGAATCGAATTACATTGGATGGCGTGGTTTGTAAAGAATTTCCCGACTATTCATTAAACGTCTTTAAACGCAGCCGTGTATTAACAGTTAAGTTTCTCATTTATATAAAGATTTTTCATAATAAACATTGAATTATAGCTGCATTTACAACGACATTTACAAGATTTAGGTCTTTACTAAACTCTGTAAGACCTTTATATGTGTCACTATAACTGGAGAGGCATGAAACGTTTGCTGATGTAACGGTGTAAAGAAAATCGTATTTAAAACATATTTATATATAATTTTAACTTAATAAATAATGTTGTTTAACAAATAGTACTACAGCATAAGAGTTCAGAGGGTATGCAATGTATATAGCAATTTTTAATCCGGTTAAAAACGACCAGTTTGGGGGAAACTTAATCAAAATAAAGCTAAACAAAACGAGCCTCACAATTTTCGAGATGTTCTCAAATGCAGACATTCCTATGGATTCTGAACGATCAACGCAAGAGCGCATTTCTAAGTATATAATAAAATTTTCCCACACTCCCTCATTGAATTGTTATGATAATGCATATGAGAGTATAAGGGCACACTTACGACTACGTACGTATCTCATGATTTTCTATAGAATAATTTCCAACCGAGTCAATAGAATACAAAGTTGGATACAATTGTAACAAAATTAATTAAATTACATTTATATATACTAAACAAATAAAATTCGACAGTAGTATCTTGGGAATAACTAGATTTGACTTAAGTATTTTTCAAACTTCTTTTTTCAAGAAATGTATAAGACATATATATATATATATATATATGAAAAATAATAATCATATATGTATTATAGATAATATACAGAAGGACGCACAAAATGTTACGTATTCATAATATTAGTAAGATTCAAAGTCATACATAAAATAATAAAAGCGTACATATTCCTTTGTTTTATTTATTTCTGCGGGACACCTTAGTACACACACACCCACACACACACAAAACTCTATTTGCTTACTCTGTAGTGCTCTCGTGGTTGGCGGATTGTTTTCATCATTCATACGTTTTCTTCATTATAATATTATTGTTAATGATCGGTATTTATTTTATTACATACATATGAATATATTAGAAATTAAAATAAATTGAAATTACTTAATCTATCGATTTAAATACTTAATTAGGGATGCCAACAACAAAAAAAATAACAGTTTATATATAAGTAAAATGGATTAAGCTCAACGAAAACAAATGACATTTCATTACCCTATGTACGGATTTGAATTATAGAATAAAAAAAAAGAAAAATCATACTAAAGATTATGATTGGTGTAACGTATAATGGGGTTTTCCCCCGACTTTGTTCGAGATGATTATCGATTGAGTTGCTCAGTTTACAAGTCGAGCAGGCTGATAATATGATACTGAGAAACAGGTAGCGGTGGATCTATATAGAGTGGTTATTACTCGCTTACGTTTCAGTTAAAATGATGTTACTTACACTATTTGTATATTAAATTAATAAGTGTAATATTTCGATTGTTATTTCTAGGTAAAGATACATTTTTGTTGTTGTTAAAAATATTCTTAATAGGATATTTTAATCAATTATGAATAATTACATGAAAATGCTATCAAATTTCGGATAATAATAAACCAAGTATCAGTTTTTCCGTAATGTATCAGAGTGAGTTAATAATTTCTTATATAATATACACAGTTAATACGGTGTTGAAGCTCAATAGAGATCTTTGTACCCCAAGTTTTTCTCGGGGTATTATCAATTATTAAACATCAGCATGGAAATAGCACCCCGGAGTCCGCTGGCATCCGCCCCCGTATATTGCGTACTTGTATTAAATATTCCCGGATTAGACGCTTTTTACATCATCAAGACAATACAGAGATATTTATGCGATTAACTGAAAGAAAATATCGTACAATTAAACTACAAAACAAAGCAAGAACTTCTAGACTAATGTATCAAAGTAATCTCGTAGGTCAGCTACGTATAGTCTACGATTTCGTACAACCTCGTAGAACGTAAGCAGTACGGTAAAAGTTGGTAACGTCATTCGAGCGATACGATATTTATGTCGTGTCGTAATCGTCACACGTGTTATAAAAGTCCCGTTATACGCGAAGCGGCTTCGGCAGCCGTGAAATGGTTTTCGGTTTTGTGCAAGTTATTAGCGGGATTTGCATGTTTGTGATTTATTGTTTTTTCTTCGTGGGGTTGTGTCTAAGACAAGCCATATTTTCAATAGGAAAGATGTTTTATTATAATGAGCTTGGTTATAAAACTTTATGTTTCTCGACAGTCAAAACAAACAATGTCTGTGATGACTTAATAATCCCGACGAAGAGAGTCTATTTATTTATTTGGTGATGATCAAATGAATTTGTGTTTATGACTTATAGAGTTATGTATCATTTTAGCTATGTTAATATCAACTCAGTTTTGAAGCGACTGTATGTAAGTCACACTCCGAGGTAACTCATCAATCTGGATTAATCTAAGTTAAATACGGAATAACATCGACTAGAATTGCAATCAAACGCATCGCTATGTCCGACCATCTTGTAATCTTAATTGCCCACTATTCCAGAAATTCTCTACCTGTAGATTGCAAGGTTCGGTCGGATTTAGTTGCAGTGAGCTCGTCTCACGACACTTTATTATTGTATAATTTATATTGTTATAGTGACATATAAATATAGTGTACAATTTTATCGTAAACAAAACATATTCATACTATTTACGGTTCTGGTATTTTAGTTAGAATATTTTTATTACAAAAGCTATGTAAACGCTCGTTACTACAGCTCAGACAGACTATGATGTAATATATATATAATTTAAAAGTCTGTTATGAACGTTCAAAGTGCTTCATTTCCCTCAACCGTTATGCTCAGAGAGTAAGATAATATCATTCGATAATGCAAAACGGTCAAAGGCAGAAAATTTAACAGGCAACGGAACGTGGATCGGACAAATTTAATTATAGTATTCGGAAATGGGCTAGAAAATTGAATGTACGGAGATATCGCGGAGGATGGAGTCGCGTAAAACCTAATTGATTTAAGGGAAGAATGCAGTGGTGTTTCTAACGGCGTCTGGCTTTAATTTATTATTATTGCTCCTTCTTTGCTTTAATTACACTGTAATTAATTCACTAACTTATTTGATATTTCTCGATTCAACTTCCCCTTAACGATTTACTGTTTCCATTACATATATATACGTTATGGCGTGTTATCATTACACGATGTGGATAGCTTCGACAGGACAGTGACAGTAAAAGCCAATTACCGTTATGGCTCGGCGCTGACGCGTTGGCAGGTCATCTCAATTCATATTGATTAACCACTTACCAGTCATGTAAGACATGCTCTGAATTCACCTTTAACGCAAGTTTATTGTTTAATTAAGTACGGATGCGTTGCACTGCATTACATATAAATTTCTGAATATATGTATGTATAAAACGGCGAATAATAAAACGCAAATTTCTCATGTCCGATAAACAGAGCTTAGAAACATCTGTTGGGCGCAAATCAAATTAATCCATCTGGAAACAGATCGAAACGTCAGGTTGGACTCGTACTGAAAATAATTTGCACCGAAACTTGTCCAATATGGCTTGAGCTGCACTATCACAGATACGAGACCTTGTAGTGTTGTTGGTAGAGTAGAGTTCGATGGACGGGAAGGTCTTTTGTAATTGGTGTCGGATAGACGAAATAGCTGCTATGATGGATCGGACGTCCAGTAGATGGGCTTTTGGCACCATCATCGCTCAATTCGACAATCGTTGTTCGACGCGGAGTGCCTTTGGATTGAGTCCATTATTCTTCACCTGTCAGGAAACAATATCGGGCGGAGCTCAGAAACCTTTTACGATGTACGTCTTTGTTATATATCGACGATGGACAAATTTTACACGTTATTTCATCTATTGTTTCGTTGTTCCATTCATGCTGTTTTCTTTACGTAAACATTAATTCGTCAGAGTAAGTTAGATTTGGAGTATTTTGTTTGTTACGAAAAAAGGGCAATAATGTAAAACAAGTTTTTTATGAGAACGCTAAACCAGAATTAGCAAAATTATTATTCCTATTGATACTTATATTAGATTATTGTTAATCATATATTTTAATTTTCTTCAATCGGCTTTAAGATGGACTATGCTGTGTTACGTGAAGGGTGCACTACAATTTAGTTTCGTCTGATGTTCTAGTTAGCGGCAGCTCATTCCAACGGATTATAAAAATATATGTCAGAAACAATAGAGGACTTAATTCCACAAAACGATCAAGGCACACGTCTATGGCGATATTATCTACGTTTAATTAACCGGTCAAACCCAACTTTCGGACCGCAAAACATCAAAGGACATCTTAATACGCTCAGAGCGAAATCGCCTCTGACTAAACATTGGCGTTATCCCACCCTTACAATTTGTGTCGTGTTCCTAAGGTGAAATTTTCGCCGACGGGTGTCCAATAGACTATTAAAACGGCAGTACCAATAAGACTACATCCTTTGTTTATAATAAACACTTTCCACTTGTTCCATCCCTGTCAGATGTAAAGCTTAATGTATATTGTTATCGCGGCTCCACGTTTGTTTTGTAGCAAGCATTCTAGTGCATATCTAGGGTACAGTCATAGCAAGAACCCGAACCCTCAGGAACGTTAACGACATACCCCGAGTTCGCCCGAGGCCGATTCAATTACTACTGTCGTATTATTTCGACGAAAATATGTATGTATTTGTGTACGTTTGTTGTGGTGTGAATTAAATTCTGTTTCAAGTTTATTGGTCACGGTTGGCGATTAGTTTGGATAAGGGTTTTAGGGCGGGATCCATCGGTTGTTTGACTATATTGAATGTTATATATCAAATGAAACGTCATTTCATGTTCTTATAACATTTGTAACGTTTTTTCTACCTCTAATGGATTTGTCATAACGACTACATTACACGGTAGTGTTAGTAAGACAATCAACAGATTTAAATTACATGGATATAAAAATTCTAGTTTTAATAACATCATCAGGGAGAGGCTTTTGGATAGAGTGATTAGAAATGTTTAAAATTCCGTGATATCTTTGACCAACTTGGTAATTATTATATTTATATATAGGTAATCAATATATAGGTAAATAGTTTTCAAATGGGCGGAAATCAACTGTGCATATTTCTAAGTCACATATCCGAATTAATATTGATATGTTACATGTAGATACACAGTAACGTTAGAAGTGATGTTATTTCCAAGCACTGAACCACTGACACACAACATTAATGTTTCAGCCAATGTATCATAACATTAGCGAGCGCAGTGTACCGATACTTGAAACCAAAATAATAGGCTTGATTAAATGCCCGCAGGATACAATTATAGAGCCGATATAGCTCTTAACAACTCGATAAGGTGTTATCGGGAAACCTCAGAGCAATTTATGGGGAGTTAATAGTTACCCTTCAATGAACACAATTTAATAGTCTACCGTTAGAATGAATTTTCATGTGATTTAGTCTGTTGAGTTTGATGATTGTTACAGTCATTCAGATAGATCACTTCTGACAAGAGGACTATCTTAGAACAGCTTTCTCGTCCCTCATAATCCGAATGTCTTAATGGTAATTACGATTTAAATTCTTATTGATTTCACAATTATATCTAATAGCATAATTAGTTTTACGTATACTACATATGAAAACTAAAACAAGTACTAAACACTACAAACTAATAACGCTGACAGAACAAATAAAGGTCGAAGACATAAAACATATGCGAAGATGAAACGCTCGCATTATCCAAAGTGCATACAGCATACCTGCCAAACATTTAATCCATTCCGTGCTACATCCAGAGCACACATAAAACTCCGTATATATTAATTTTTCAGAGCTGTGTAGCTCTTGAAACGTCGCCGCGGGCGAGCAGACAGTCGCGGCTGTACTAGACGCGCTCATCCCCCGTGTGGCTATTACATTGTATAGAATTAAATGTTACTCTTAATAACATTTGCTACTATATAAATTATAAGACTTCTTTAAAACCTAGAAAATCGGAACATAGAATAATTGGATCTTTAGTCCTATCTGTAATCTAAAATGTAAGCTCCATTTTTTTTATAATAAGAAATTTGATTTTCCTAAAAAAAAAAGAAATCGCTACAGTGAAACGTATGAGACATTAAGGAATATTTTAATCGGCTTATATTCGTAGATGTACCAACTAAAACTGTAATTTCATGGCCCAGCAACTAGCAATGCACAGAAATGATAACGCGTCGGGTAAAATATGGAATTCGCATGATATTTCAGATTATCAAACGGTAATATTTTTAATGATTCGTTGTATATTATACCCGTGACATTCTTATTACTCAACATGCTATAGGGCTTAATTTGCGTTTAAATTAAAACGAACCCGAGGGTTTTATTGCAGCGGTGAAATGTATCTTACTTTTAGGAAATGCTTGTTTCAACGGGCCTTGCTATTTGGGAATGCATTCTGTTATGTTCGTTTCTTGTAGTTATCTTTGAATCATGTCAATTATGTGATGGTAAAATTGAGAAGACTTAAACAGTTATGCTAATATTCGTTGTAGTAATTACGAACAAATTTTATTCTATTGTATGGTATGAACATTTAAAATTAAATTTAATTAGCAAATTTATCATATGTACAAACAATTATATATTCGGGTTGATTTATAAAGCATATCATGAAATATGTGTATCGTTTCTACTGCTTCGTTTGTGTCTGTTTTCCTCAGGCCTAATTTGTTTAGTGCAGCCCCTTTTGTCTTGGCGTGGTGCGGGCGGATCACGGGCGATCAATTATAAAGGTTTTCATATGCAAATACCTCGGGAGCAATTTTAATTACGTATTTTGATTGCGTTATATATTGATTAGGTTCATTATGTTTTGCGGCTCGAATCGGGGAGTTGATAGATGCTTTATTATTCACAGAGTTTGATTATAGAAGTTTTGGAGAACATTATAAATATTGGATTGGTTTTTACTCTTGTTGTGAGGTATCGAGCGATATCAGAATTTGTATTTATGCATTAGATTATACTAGATTCACGTGCGCGATTTTACGTTTTCAAATCTAGACAGAATTATAATTATTATTAGAAATGAGAGCGTACAAATGAAGGTTTAATTATCGTTTAGCTGTTGATTAAAATAATTTTATGAAACATGTATAAACAACGAATAATGTTTTAGATACACATTTTAAGAGTTGGTTTTCCACAGAAACATATAACTGGCATATCTATGAGAGATTTCGATGTAACTTACCAGATATTTAAATGATATAATAATATGTACTGAGAGTAATATTTTATTTATAAAATGAATTTTCCCATACAGGAACGAGAGTGAGTTTCCCTTCCATTTAAAATTGTTGAATACAAGAAAGGTTATCGATTAGGAATTCGAGACGTTTTCAAAATGTTTTAATGTGACAAATTAAATTGTTCATTTATACATGTAAGTAAACTACAATCAAATTATCCAAGTGGAAAAGCGATCGATTCATTAAAAGACACCAAAAAAAAAATGAGATGTATAAATTAAATGTTTAACAAACTAGAAGTCCACAAACATTTCGGTTGCTCAAAGTCTCATTATTAGCAAGTTTAATCTATCCGAGATAAAGTTATTAGTCTCCCGATATCCGATGAATGGGTAACGAGTTGAAAATCGACGTCCCAACCCTTTGAGTTGCGACAACTTGGGTGGAACGGATCCTTGAATTTTTGATCTCTGCCGGGAGCGGGGTGTCGGTGACATTATTAACACTTAATATTTAGTGCGCGAGGGGCCCCCGATACATTTGCTTAACGATTTCGTTTGTTGACTTAGATTATACCTTTTTTTCACCTTTATTGCTGTTGAATTTTTGAATGGGATGGATTTAAGAGTATTTTTTTATGTCATTAAATAAGTTATGATATAGATATAAACTTTTATTGCGTTTTGTATGTTATATATAGCAATATACATAGGTATATACACACACATATATATATTTATATATAATAACTTCAGGCCCCAATTGATGATGGTTAAAACAAACAAACAATTTAAAGTTTGTCGATCTTAAAATATGTATAACAAGCGTGTTACATATATAATATTATATGTCATCACATTACATTGTACAAGCACATCTTCAAAACCAACCCCCGCTATGGTTGCGCGAGTGACACAACTCAAAGTAATTAATATTTTAATTGGGCATTTTGTGCGTTGTTACTTGCCTGATACTGCTCGATAAATTCCGCGTCGCTAATGCCACCCTACCTGTTTGATGTTGCGGTGTAGGCGTTTTTCGCACTTTGACTTCTTTGCTATTCAACTCTTTGTTACATTCGATAAATGCCTTTCAACCGGAATGTATACCTCTAATTCACGATGATGCTTGTTATTAAAAAGAATTTATCGATTAAACACAAAATTTTAAGAGCAAGAGGAGAAGTTGTGGAATTTTCTAAACGCTTGAAGTTGGTATCGCTATTCGTCGGTGAAAATTTCAAAACCAAACTTGAACAATTACATGATCACAAATAAAAAACCAACATCGAAGTCAAACTCACAAAAGCCTTTGACGCACTCGCCGGGTCTAATGAGGCACCTGAACGAGAGAACACTTACCGGGGGTTTATGATCGCGATCTGCGTTAAACGCGCGTTAAAAATTTGCTAAGTATTGGTACGGAGTGAGGGTATTTTAAATTTCGTACCAAGGAGCGATTAATTAGTGTG